GCTATGTTCTTCTAAGGCTGAAGGGTGCTTTTTGGTTTCTCCTCTTTCCTCCCACCAGATCCCAGCCCCAGTCACTTACTTTTCCTTCTGTCCAGATAAAACAAGAATTTATCTTCATCTCTTCTCAGTTTTCTAGGTTACTTTCTCACTTGTCTCAAGTGGCTCAAGTGAATGACCGTTTCCCCACTGTGTACAGTGAGAACTGAGATCAATCTGATCCTCAGAGTGTGCTGGTTTATTTGAATAACAACAGTCTGCTAAGAGCCAGGCTCTGAAATCTGGTCCTGGTTCTGCCTTATACTCAGCTTGAAGTCTCAGACAAGTCTCTCTCCTCTTCAGACCTCAGTTTACCCTTCTGAGAATCATGGGTTTGGATTCAGCCTTTTGAGGATTTTCCTGTATGACACATGAAAACTTAGACAGGAAGCAAAATTCTTGTGACATGTTTTTTAAAAATATTTATTTAGCTGTGTCAGGTCTTAGCTGTGGTATGCAAGCTTAATTCCCTGACAGCGTGTGGGATATTAGTTCCCTGACCAGGGATGGAACCCATGACCCCTGCATTGCAAGGTGGATTCATAACCACTGACCAGCAGGGAACTCCCTCATGACACTTTCACACCCCTCATCAAGTGCTTTCTTTGACATTTTCTGCCACGGGTGTTCCACCCTATCTTCTTGGCAGTGAAGTAGGCTGATCAGAAGTGTAGAATCTGGAACCAGACCAAAGGGATCCCATTCAGACTCCCCAAGTTACTAGCCATATGGTTTGGGTAAACTACTAATACTTAGCATCTCTGAGTCTACTCCCTTATTTATAAAATGGGTATATTAAGAATTGCTACCTAAGATTGTTGTAAAAATGAACTTAAGTAACATCTAAAAGTATCTAGCTTAGAATAAACATCATTTAAGCAGCATCTGCTATCATCATAGTTATCCTTTATTATAAAGGAGAAAACTGTGCATCTCTCTTGGATTTGTGAGGACAGTAACACCACAGACCCTGGGAGAGTATCAAGGTGCAGGAAGTACTGCTCCTGGCCTCCGGCTTTGTGTACTAAAAAGACATGCTTGAGAGAAACATTTTTTAAAAATCCCAGTCGCTAATCCTCATGAGTTAGGGATAAGTCACCTGGTGTCAGTCCTCTGCATAGAAAGAAGCATAGCTGAAGAAAGGACACTTTCAGTATACCAGCAGTTTTTGGTGGTGGTGGGGTCGGTGCAGAGTGGGGTGGGGACAGGGAGTGAAATTGCAGAGTTTAGTCTTGAAAGTCATGCATAAACTAGTGGGTGTCCCTCTGCCCACCCCTTATGTCTATCTTGCAAAGCCCTGTCTGCCAGGATGCCCACTCTGCCTTTGGACTATAACACTGAATGCCTATGCTGTGAATTACCATGTTTCTCACAGAAAGAGGACAGTGCTTAATGTTGGAAGATGTGGGTCCCCCTTCTGGTTCCTATGGCCTCTCGCCTATAGGACTCTAAGCCAGTTGCCTCATCCTTGAACTTCAAAACTCTATTCTATCCCCACATACCAGTAGCTGTTCTTTCCATGTTATAGTTTTAGGAAAATGGCCTGAGGTCCAGGACTCACCTTGACTTCTTTTTCCTTCACTTTCAACATCCAGTTAGTCTGCAAGTCTACAAGACATTCTGTCATTGAACCTTTGCAGCAACCCTAGTAGGTAGATACTGTTGACTTGATTATTCATATTTGTACATGAATTATTTATACAGCTGATGGTTGTAACTTTTTAATTTCCCGATCATTTTCACTTATGCTACAGTAGCATCTTCTATCTGAGCTTCCTTTTCTGTAAAAACTCTAGTCCAGAACACTGGTCTGTTTGGATCCTTCTCACAAGCCTTCATTGGTCCTGTAATCTACTGAGGAAACCCTGAGCTCTCCCGTGTGGCACTTGCCTACATTTCTCTGACCCCTTCAAGGTCTCCCTTTGTGTCTAAGCCACACTGGACAACCTGCAATTCCTAAAGAAGTTATTCACTTTACTAACTAGAATTAGGTTTGTCTGCAAGTGACAAGAATTCTCTGCCCACCTCTCAATACTAGTTTGACAAAATTAAGATATATTTCTCATGTAAAAGAAGTCTAGAGCTGGAATAGTGTTCCAGAGAGGCAGGAACCCAGACTTCTACGCCCTCGTGCATCTGCCATTCTACCATGTGACTTCCACTTCATGGTCCAAGGTGGCTGCTCAAGCTACAGCTATTACACCCACCTTTTGCAGTGGGAAGGAGGAAGGAACAAGGAAGGTCATAACCCTGACTCAAAGAACAGTTTCTGGGACTCACGCTTGCTCACACACCATTGGCCAACATTTTGTCACACCTAGCTGTTAGGCTAGGAAATTTTTATTTTGGCTAGTCTTTATTTTAGATAGCCATGTGCTGAGGTGGACGTTGTTTCCCAGGAAGGAGAGAGAATGGGTATGGGGTGGCACCTAGCAGCCTGCCGTGCAGTCTCACATCTGAGGGTGTGCACGTTGTTCCTTCTGTCCAGGTCCTCTTCCCTCTCCCGTCTCAGTCCCTTGGCGTGGCCTGGCCTTATCTGTCCCTTAGCAATGGTACCTCACGCCCCTCCTCACTCTGGTGCCCTGTGGCTGCCTGGGGCTCCTCAGCACCCCATACACCTGCACAGTCTCTGGCCAAGGTGGGCCCGCCACCAATATTTCTTCTTTCAAAGATACACTGAAGAAACGGGATTATGTTCTTCAGGCTCCCAGGACCTTCCTACATCTGGGGCAAGGTTTGGGGATGGGGTAGCAGAGTGATCTTACAGGCTCATGGCAGACTGCCGCTCTTGGTTGTACAGACCACCCATCCTCACACAGTGGGACACTGTTCAGGCCTCAGCCTTCGTGATGGTGAGTGATCGATGTGGAGCGGGGTTACTGTTGTGATTCTTGCTTTCAATTCCAGTCAGTTCTTGATTTGATTTCTGCCATCTGTTCCTCTCATTTTAAACCTGGGCAGTATCTCCCACGTGCTTTTTAAGGTGACTGACAGAAGCCTTCATTGGTCCTGTAATCTACTGAGGAAACCCTGAGCTCTCCCGTGTGGCACTTGCCTACATTTCTCTGACCCCTTCAAGGTCTCCCTTTGTGTCTAAGCCACACTGGACAACCTGCAATTCCTAAAGAAGTTATTCACTTTACTAACTAGAATTAGGTTTGTCTGCAAGTGACAAGAATTCTCTGCCCACCTCTCAATACTAGTTTGACAAAATTAAGATATATTTCTCATGTAAAAGAAGTCTAGAGCTGGAATAGTGTTCCAGAGAGGCAGGAACCCAGACTTCTACGCCCTCGTGCATCTGCCATTCTACCATGTGACTTCCACTTCATGGTCCAAGGTGGCTGCTCAAGCTACAGCTATTACACCCACCTTTTGCAGTGGGAAGGAGGAAGGAACAAGGAAGGTCATAACCCTGACTCAAAGAACAGTTTCTGGGACTCACGCTTGCTCACACACCATTGGCCAACATTTTGTCACACCTAGCTGTTAGGCTAGGAAATTTTTATTTTGGCTAGTCTTTATTTTAGATAGCCATGTGCTGAGGTGGACGTTGTTTCCCAGGAAGGAGAGAGAATGGGTATGGGGTGGCACCTAGCAGCCTGCCGTGCAGTCTCACATCTGAGGGTGTGCACGTTGTTCCTTCTGTCCAGGTCCTCTTCCCTCTCCCGTCTCAGTCCCTTGGCGTGGCCTGGCCTTATCTGTCCCTTAGCAATGGTACCTCACGCCCCTCCTCACTCTGGTGCCCTGTGGCTGCCTGGGGCTCCTCAGCACCCCATACACCTGCACAGTCTCTGGCCAAGGTGGGCCCGCCACCAATATTTCTTCTTTCAAAGATACACTGAAGAAACGGGATTATGTTCTTCAGGCTCCCAGGACCTTCCTACATCTGGGGCAAGGTTTGGGGATGGGGTAGCAGAGTGATCTTACAGGCTCATGGCAGACTGCCGCTCTTGGTTGTACAGACCACCCATCCTCACACAGTGGGACACTGTTCAGGTCTCAGCCTTCATGATGGTGAGTGATCGATGTGGAGCGGGGTTACTGTTGTGATTCTTGCTTTCAATTCCAGTCAGTTCTTGATTTGATTTCTGCCATCTGTTCCTCTCATTTTAAACCTGGGCAGTATCTCCCACGTGCTTTTTAAGGTGACTGACAGCTGGTCTCGTGTATCAGCTTGCTTCTTTCATTGCTAAGCCTTCAGGCCCCTCCTTGGTCTTTCTCACTTGCTGCAGTGCCCCCACTGGATCCTCAGGACAGCTCCTGAGATAGGAGGGCAGTGTTACCTGCACTCACAGATGAGACATTTGCCCAGGCTAGCCCAAGAGCCGGGGAGCCTGAGAGTGTGGGGAGGAGAGGGGCTGGCTGGTTCCTCAGCAAGGTGCATGTGAGCCTCTCCCCAGCCTGGGGGGATTCTCAGGTTTAAGCGTATGCCATGGCCCCTCCACATGGGCCAACTACTTTGGTGCTCAAGCACAGATTCTGCCATCCGGTCCAATGTGGCAGAAACCAGTGCCCATACTGGACTCTCAGATGTCCCGGGTCTGTCTCCAACATGCTTTGTAATAGTAACTACTATATGCTGGGCTTGATAGGTGATTGAAGGGCTTTTCAGAAATCATTTTGGTTATATGTGATTATGACTTTAAACCTCAGCCCCCTGACCTCCATATGAGGCCTGACTGCAGGGGACTCTACCCCAAGTCATGTTCACTGTACCCTTTCTCCAATAATCTCAAAAGTCTGAGTGGAACCCTTTCTGCTATGTGGCTGGTGGGTTATGACAAAATGTCCTTTAAGGTCCACACAGTTCCAGCTGTCATCTTTGCCTTCTTCTCACAAGTGCTGCACCAAAACTGAGACACTTCTGGGGGCTCTGGGGCCTCAGGTGGCACTTACGATGTGTCAGGGAACAAGCCAACACTCACATGTCCAGGTGACAGCCTTTCTGTTTCTTCCTGCAGTTGGTCACCACAGAAGCGGGCTTCCTCAAAGACAGTTTGTACAATGAAGGAATCCTAATTGTATGGGACCCATCTATTTACCATTCAGATATCCCAAAGGTAAGTGGATGTCCATGGGGAATTGGGATTGAGTCACCTGTTTTCTATACATTTCCCTGAGGTACTGGGTTTTTAAAGTTGTGGTTGAACTGGGCCACCCTGAGGGCTGACTGGTTCCATTTCAGGGCACCTCACTTTTGGATTAGTTGTTCCGGAGGTTTCCTGTCCTATACCAGTGCTCTCCATACCCGCCCTGCATTGCCATGTATTTGTCTCCCAACTAGGGTCTGTATCAGGAGTAGTAGTGGCTGGATTTCCCACCATCTGGGGTGGATTGTGTTCATGGAATACAGTTATTTCTGATGAGCAGTAGCAGGCATAGACAGTTGTTATTATCTTTCCTCTACACAATGTTATCATAATGTTACTTGTCCCACACTTAAGTTTCCAGACACTTTTCATTTCACTCTTATAGCAACAGAAAGAAGTAGGCAGAAACGTGGTTATTCCCATTTTACAGATGAGGAAAACAGAATGTGGTGGTGGTGGTAGGGTTATCTGCCTGGGACTTGATTTGCTAAGCAGAGGGCCCAGATCTGCAACATCAGCTTTTCCAGGGCAGGAGACAGAGTCGCAGTCCTGCTGGGCTCTGGCTTCTCTGGCCTCTCACTGTTTGTCACACAAATCAGCTGGCCTCTCCCTGGCATGGGCTCCAGGAGCCACAGGAGAAAGGCTTTAAGGAGGAGGGACAGAGAGCACTGTCCTTGGGAGACTCAATTCTCATGCTGGACACACGGGTAGCTGACAGGCTCTGGTGATCCCTGGCACCCTCCTCCAACTACCTCAGTTTACAGTTTTGCACTGATCTCACTTACAACTGAAATTTGCCTGGGTCAGGTCAAGGACTGTGAGTCCACAGCTGTGGCAATCCGGGTCCCAGTTTTCACCCCTTTAAAAAAGAGAGGTGGGGTTAGATAGGGCCAAGAGCCCCTCTCAGCTCTGATATCTTTCCCAGTCTGTGATCCTGAGGTCTGAAGCTGTTCCATGGTCACCAAGCTCAAATGTCCCTGTGAGCACAGGCTATGTGCTGGGTGCCCTGCTATCAAGTGAGAGCTGTGATATGGAGAAGCCTGGAGTCTATCTCAATGAAGGGTTGTCTCTCAGGAGTCTGCCTTGGTCCCTCCCCACCTCCCCTAGTCCTCAGAGGAGGACGACCGCCAGGGGTGGCAGCAGACCAACCCATTGCTCTCCTTGAGGAGACCTCTTCCTTCTTTTTCAGTGGTACAGGAATCCCGACTACAGTTTCTTCAATAACTTCAAGAGCTATCGTAAGCTGCATCCTGATCAGCCCTTTTACATCCTCAAGCCACAGATGCCTTGGGAGCTGTGGGACATCATTCAGGAAATCTCCTCGGAGCAGATCCAGCCAAACCCCCCATCCTCTGGGATGCTCGGTGAGTCCATGTCTGAGAAGGAACTCTGGTTCTTGTCTCCAGAATAGAGTAGCTTTCTTCTGGGGGCTCATTCGTTTGTTCGTTTACCAAACAGTTGCTAGTTTTTTGCTCTATTTTTATGCTGAGGCAAATTCCAACTAAGACACAGAGATCAATATGATAGAATCTTCTTCCTTAACTTCAGGGTGTCCAGTGGGAGCGTTCAGTCAGGTGTATGAGGCAACATTCAGTTTGTGCCAGGAAAGCGTGACCAGCTCGGTGCCATAGGAGAGAGGACCCCTTCTAGGGAGACAGCCTGAGAACTTTGTGGAGAACAGGACCAGGCCTGGGAAAGGGGAGGATCTGGCAAGTGGAGATGGAGTAAAAAGGGAAGCACAGAAAAGATGAGGCAGGAGGAGTAGGGCTGGGACTTGGGTGAGGCCAGCCAGGCACCCACTTCAGATGTACAATTTAAGAAGCTGCCATGAAATTCAGAAACAAATGATATCTTAATAGTGTCTTTAAAAAAAATCACAGTGAAAAATTTCATGATAGACAAAATATTAAAATTTTAAATAAAGGATCAATAATAATGCCATTATTGTCCTGAGCCATATTAGAATCTGAAGAAAACAGAACAGTCGATAATATTCAGAATTTCACCTAGTGACCACCCTGTCTGTGGCCCTGAGAGAAGACTGGGTGGTGAAGCTGCACGTGGTTTGGGGGTCACAGACGGAGCGGTGGGTGCCGATGTGGGGGTGGGCCGGGGTCAGAGCGCTGAGGGCCCTGAGTGCTGGCCGCACACTCTCACACGACAGAGCTCTCCCCCCACACCCCCTCTCCCCCCCGCCCCCCCCCACACAGAGCACAGCGAGAACACGCACACGCGCCCACAGACCCCCCCGCACACGCACTCACATCCCCACACCCCCCCCCATAAGACACCACAGCCCCCACAGCGCAAAACTGTTTGCCTCGTCCTTGTGGGTCTGGCACAGGACAGGCCTGAGGTAAATGTTCTTTGAGTAAATGAACAAATACTTTATTATCAGAGGCATTTTCTGATAGAGATGAAGGTGCTTTCAGTATCCCATCTGCTTTCTGCCTTTCTCTTCCACTTGTGCATAGGTGCCCTGGGGGAACTCCCTGGACCCCTTTGGAGCAGAAGTAGATGGAGAGCAACCCAGGGACACTCCTGTTGCCCTACTGCCTGCCTTTGCTTGTGCTGTCCCCTCCACCAGCAGCCCTTCCCCCTGCCCCTCCGTCATGGCCAGAGCCCTTGCCAGCCCCCACACCCAGGCTCCGGGGGCTCATGAGAGCCTGCTGTCATGGAAGCCCCCCTCCCCTCATCTGGAAGCACGACTGCTGTGCCGTCATCGCTTAGTTGCAGATGTCTTTTCTCGCCCGTCACACAGGGTGGGGACAGCCAGAGGGGGTTAACAGGGCTTTCCCCAGGTCTCCTTCTTCCAGAACACAGCTGCTGTTAGCACTTTACAAGTCTGCTGTTAGTAAGAACTGTTCATCATAAAAGTTCCCTATATTGATGGTTGACAAGAGCAGTCTTAGAGCCACAATCTTACTGCATCTGAACAGTAGCCTGTGTGGTAAGGAGAGTGGGTAGATCGCCCCTTTGGGACAGGTGGAGAACCTGAGAGGGACGTGTCCTGCAGGAGATGGCTGAGCCGGATGGGGACACGCATGGGGGATGGGAGGCATCCCCCATCTCTTGCTGGGTCTGCACCTCTGTGTTCCGTACCCCTCCCTGAGCGCACCACCCACCACACTCTCTCAGCTCCTCTCTCCTGCCTGACTGAGCCCATCAGTACAGACCAGCGCATGCTCCTCTAACAGCTGTCCCCCTCCCACCTGAGGCACGAAGCCTTCCTTCCCCTCACTGTTTCGCTAGGTATGAGTGTAAGAAACACCTCCCAAATAACCAGCTACAAGGCTCATCCAAGATACAGATATGAGAGAAAGTAATATCTGCATGGAATGGTTCTGTCTCCTTGGTCACCTTGGTCCTCTCTCTTCATAAAGCTTATTGACAATGATCAATTCATTGGCTGATGGTGGAGCCCTTCAATTCACCAATGTTTAGGAGGACCTGCTGGGCACCGGGCTCTGACCTGGGTGCTGAGCATACGAAGGTTCGTGAGCCTTGCACCCTGAGGAGCGGCCTGTTGGATGGGCTTACCAGAGCAACTCAGACTGGGAACACACTCAGACAGACATTCTGGCAGACACCTCTCCAGCTTTCGGGGCATGAGCTGTGGGGCTCCCTGGGCAGAACTCCGGGGAGCCAGGGTGGGCTACTGCGTAGGACTCACCTCTGCTCTCCTCTCCAGGCATCGTCATCATGATGTCGCTGTGTGACCAGGTGGATATTTACGAGTTCCTCCCATCCAAGCGCAAGACTGACGTGTGCTACTACTATCAGAAGTACTTCGACAGTGCCTGCACAATGGGTGCCTACCACCCACTCCTCTTTGAGAAGAACATGGTGAAGCACCTCAACCTCGGCACGGACGAGGACATCTACTTGCTTGGAAAAGCCACGCTGCCTGGCTTCCGGACAATTCGCTGTGGAGCATAAGCTCCCCAGCCAGGCCCCCTCACCCTTGTCCATTGGCATTTTACAGCCGGTCTTCTGGCCACCCCAGGCCTGGGAAGGAAGACTGTGTTCTTGAATAATCACAGCCCACACTCCAGGCAGCAAGAGCCCTGGGGCTTCAGAAACTCAAGGGCAGGGCCCCCAGCCCAGCCTGCCCTGTTGTCACGGGGGTGTGTGAACCCAGAGCCTCCTGTCTCACTCATGTATACCCGTTTAGCATTCCTTCCAGAGAGGGTCCTCCCACCCCCAACCCAGGTAAATGCAAGATCCACCTTTCCCACCAGGGCTGCCAAAGCTGGTCTGCTTTCCCCACCAGAATGATGTTGTTGCGAACCAGGGAAACAGGGAAAAAGGTACAGTCTCCATCCTCAAGTTACATATAGATCAGTGCAAGGGACCAGATGGATTCAGTGTGCTTGATGCACTGGGGCTTGTGGGTGTGGGCTTGCTGTGTGGCTGTTTTTGCACCCAGGAGGGACCACACTCTGCGTGTCAGTGGGTCATAGAGGGCTTCACAGAGCTGGGGGCTGTGCAGTGGATTTTAGGAGAGGAGAAACATGTTAAGCAGATTTTGTCTAAGTCATCTGAGATGTGTTTTCCTATCTGCCTTTATTACCTGTATTTAAGATCTGCCTAAGTTTACAGGCCAAGGCACTTTTTGAGGAAACCCCCTCCTCATGTCTGAGGCATCAACTGAAGCCCCATACAGATGCCAGGCAAGCCAGATGCCAAAATCCTGATTTCCCCAGGCTCACCTGGCCTGAGCCTAGCCTAGCCTACCAGCTGGGTGTGCACAGCCTATCCAACTCTTCCTTTTTGATGCCTACCCCCAAACCTCCTCCTGCCATCCTGTTTTTCCCTTTAATCTTCCCCCTTCCAAATTACTTTCATGCATTTTCCATTTTAAAATTTCCTTTTCTTTCTTTTTTTTACCTTCATGGGCCTTTTGTGAAAGGCCTCTCAGGGAGTGGGAACATGGTTTCCTAAGACTTAGGAGTCGTTCTCAGAGGTCAGAATCTAGGAGATCATGACTAATTCTCACCAGGTGTATCAAAGTGCTGTGCCCTCATCCCCATCTGCAAGGGAGCAACATCAAAGTCTCCAGACAGAGGTCTGTCTGCTGTGGTCTGTCCACACAGACATTTTGGACTATTGTGCTAAGTCCCCTACCCTGATGGGGAGCCACACTAGACTGGACCAGGCTTCTGGACTCCTGAGCTAGCCCCATGTGCTCACGGGTCTTGAGTGTTGGAGGTCCAGAAAAGCTGTTGTGGAACTGGAGTACTCATTCATGGTCAAACCGCTGGCTTGTGCAGGCAGTAGAAAGAGCTCTGGAGTGAGAAGCCCTGGGTTTTCAAAGTGATGCTCCCCTATTACTTGCTATGCCACCATGGGCAAATTCTCCTCTCTGAGCCTATTTCCACATCTGTAGAATGGGTGGTGAGCCTGCCTCACAGGTGCCATGAGGGTTACCTGGGAGAAGGCAGGTGCTCAGTGCATGCTGGATTCCTCCCTTCCTTTACTAAGATCCTGCCCTGTGCCCACACCTGGCAGCATCCTACTGTGAAGCAGGCCAGAGAGTGGGCTTTGTTCTCAGGGAATGTAATGTCTATTGGGAGACAATAATACCTACCCTGCTTGGAACACCCTGGCAACCATCTGAGGGAGTGGAGTGTGCAGAACGTGTCCCTGCTCAGGCCTGATCCACTCTGGGATGGGCAGAGCACTTGGGCCACTGGCCGCTGTGACCCTGGGCTTTTCCCACATCTCTGGGCTCAAGAATTCCTGGCAGTCATTGAATCATGAGCATGGAGTGCAGAGGGAGGTGGCATTCCATTGCCAGGAGAGATATGTTGATGTGGACACTGAGACTACACTGGGTAGATGCTAGCTTTTATGTGTTAATAATCAAGTTAATTTAATTGTGCTTTCTCAACCTGGAAACGGGTAGAATGCAAATAAGATGTGGATACTCTCGTTAGTCTGATTAAATGTTTTATATTTGTGACAGGCAATTTAAAAATTATGACTGTGTCCTGTAGGAAAGCCACTGTCTCTAAGCTGTTCTGTTTTATTCACTAGCCATCTGTTCATTCTATATCATGAAGTCCTCAAATCTTTCCATCTCAATCAAATAAGCTATTGATATTGGCCTGGAGTTGAGACGTCAATCTCAGAAACTTCTGAATCATGTCCTAAGCTATTTCTGAATTATCCAAAGATTATGTAAAATTTTAAAATAAATGATTGTTCAAAAATTGTATCCCTCTTTTCTTGTCAAGGGGACAACTCCTCATTGTCAATTCTTGTCTCTGAAGAGGACACAACAGGAATCCTGAACCCCCAAACCCTCCTCCATGAGCTCCTCTGCCTAGCCTCTTGTCACTTCTACAGGAAAAGAACTCCTGCTTGCACAGCAGGATATCATCTGTGAGATAGCGACTGGTTTGTTTTCTTCCTTTTGCTCTTGCTTGGATTCAAATGACAAAGCTGTTGTTCATCCAACACCTCAAGGAAGGGCTGCAGGAGGATAGAAAGCAGAATGAAATGAAGTTCTCGCTTTGGTTTCCAAAAGTCTAAAACCCTTAAAGGAACGATGTCCCAAGGGGATAGCCAAGTTGTTTAGATACAGAAATTTCTGCCCAAACTTCAGGAGAATGGGAGTTCAAAAGAGGACCGACAGACAAAGAGATTTCAATTAGTTTGGAAATTGAGATCTGTGCTTGCCAAATTTACAGTAGCTTAAGTCTCTGTTAGGTCCTTTCAATTGGTGAGCTGGGTTTTGGGGGCACCAGGCTTCTCTGTTTGGACCTTGTGGGGAGCTTCTGCCACCTCCACAGGTTGCCTTTCCCCTTGGGTCCTGCTCTGGTATCTGCTGCTTATTTTAAGGTGTGTATGTTAGGGGTGAGGGAGGAACAATGAGAACCCGGCTGCTTCTTTACCCTGTCAGCCATTTAAGCAGAAGAAAGACACAAATCACAAAGAGAAAGACTAAGAGAGGTACTCACCTACAACCTCCATGCCCACCCCACCAATAGCGCCCTTGAAGCCCAACGCCAGGCTCTCTCTTCTTACAGAATGCTTCACACCCTGGCAAGTGCTTTACTCGCACCAGTAATGGCTCCACAGCTAGAAGCAAGAGGCGGAGAAGGGGTACTCTGGGACTGCTGCCTCACCTATTCCCAGCTCCTCACCCCCTGTGTGGCTTTGGTTTCTACTTCCCGTGTCATCCTCAGGGCAGCCTTTGAGGAATGTTCTGTGATGTATGGGGACTGCATTATGGCCCCAGGGACACTTACCACTCTAACTGGGACAGAAACACCCTAACCCAGAAAATTCATCCCTATGGGCTGGGCATAATGACATCAATTTCAGGAGAGAAGGAAAGGCCTTACCTGCACCCATGACATCCCATCACCTGGTGCACTTATGCCGCCATCCAGTCCTTCTCAGGTCAGGATTGACTGGAAACAAGTTTATCATGGGAAGAGGAAGTCTATTCCGCCCAGCAAGTGCACAGTGAACACCCACTGTGAGAGGCACTGGGAGACAATGACGAAGACTCCCAATACCTGCCCTCCATGAAATCAGAGCCCAAGAGACTGGATCTGCCCTGTCTGTGTATAGTATTATCAGGTTCAAGTGAGATAAGAGAGCTGCCATTTTCTGAAAATGAAAGTATGGTTATTGTTGTTAGGCTTGCATTTATAGCTGCATAGAAGAAAAATACTATGCAAATGCCAAATATGAAGGAATATGATCATATAAGGTAAAAGCACAATAATGAAGTTGTAGAAGAAAGATTCATTTTGGCTGGAATTTGTGGAATCTTAGTGGGTGACAGTCTTGAGATTGTCTTGACAGGCAGGATTCCTCCTTATTTCTTTAAGGAAAATGCTTTTCTGATTATAAAAGTTACAACTACTTACTGTCAAAATACTAAATTATGAAGGGGAAAAAGTTCATCTTTTCCAAATATAATCCCTATTAGCAGTTCCCAAAGATGCAGTAATCAAAACAGTATGGTACCAGCACAGAAACAGAAAAATAGATCAATGGAACATCACAAGAGATGACTCTACACATGGCCATCACCAGATGGTCAACACTGTATCAGATTGATTATATTCTTTGCAGCCAAAGATGGAGAAGTTCTATATAGTCAGCAAAAACAAGACCAGGAGCTGACTGTGGCTCAGATCATGAACTCCTTATTGCCAAATTCAGACTTAAATTGAAGAAAGTAGGGAAAACCACTAGACCATCAAGGTATGACCTAAATCAAATCCCTTACAATTATACAGTGGAAGTGAGAAATAGATTTAAGGGACTAGATCTGATAGACAGAGAGCCTGACGAACTATGGACAGAGGTTCGTGACACTGTACAGGAGACAGGGATCAAGACCATCCCCATG